CCTAAATTCTATGATTCTATGATCAATGCTGATGAGATAACCTTGATCCCAATGATCACAATCTCACTCCTTTGCAGTGGCTATTTTGAGACCCGTGGCCAGAGGTACCTCATTGAGCCCTTGGGAGCTTCAGACAGAGAGGAACATGCAGTCTACAAGTATGAGGCACTGAAACAAGATCCCATCATGACCTGTGGCCTGATCAACAACACGTGGGAACAGGATTCAAACGACCCCATCAACGACATCTTCAAATCCAGCAACAACCCAAAGGTAAGGACAGAGTTAACCACAGCAAGGACATGTCAAACAAGAGACTTTGTGGCCACAGGAGAACTCTGAGCAGCACAAATGCCACTTGGGCTGGTGGCAGCTCCACACAGAAGTGATTGCAAGCAGGGAAGTGTCAGCAGAGCTGAAAGAATAAGTGCAAAACCTTCCAGATCTGAGATTTCAGAGTCACCCTCTCAGTTAACCCTCCTGCCTGCACTCAGTGGTGTCCATGTGCACCTTTAAACCTCTAAATCCTGATTAATATCAAGCTTCCCTTTCATAATCTTAATAATTATTCTAATATATCTTAGATGAAAGAGTATCTGAAGGCAAAAAAGTACCTGGAGCTCTACATCGTTGCAGACAATGCCTTGGTGAGTATTGGAATGATAATTTCTCATGGGACAACTACATGACAAATCCCTTTTCCCTCTCCTTTTCCTGACATACCCTGTTTACTATTTTTTTTTTTTTAGTACAAGAAATATGATGAAGATGTTAAAAGCATAAGGCAAAGGATATTTGGGATAGTCAATTACATCAACACGGTAAGAGCAAACTCAGCCAAGAGACATTGAAATCCAAGTGATTGATAAGGTCTCTCTGGTGCAAACATCATAAATTCTCATTGCTACACCTAGGAATGAAAGAAAACTCAACTATTTTTTTCATTTAGGAGGCAAATTTAACATAGCTGTGCATATTCTCCTGTTCTTTGCCTTCAGACATGAGATTTTTATAAGGAAAGATTTATATTCTGTTTTCCTGTCCCTTGTGAAAGTCAATGACTGAAACCCTTCAAGAAGAAGAAGAAATTGAGGCTTGGTTCTCGATTTCCATCCAGAATTGCTGAAATTTTCAAGGCTTTAAGAAATTGAGGCTTGGTTCTCGATTTTCATCCAGAATTGCTGGAATTTTCAAGGCCTTTAAAGCCATTTTTAAAGTTGGTTTAAGGGGAAGGGAAATAAGATTTCGTAGTTTGTTTGTTGGTTTTTTTTTTTGGAGCTTCAAAGTGTGGAAAAGCTTCAATCAGGTCTAGAGTGAACAATATTACAAGTGAGCCAAGCCCCAGGGCAAGGATTTGTTTCAGAGCCTTTGGGATGTGTTAACTTTGTGATTGTGTCTCTGCTGCAGGTCTACAAGGCCATAAATATCTTTGTGGCTTTAACTGGCCTGGAGGTGTGGACAGATGGGGACAAATGTGTGCTGAGACGCAGTGCAGGATTCACCCTGGACAGCTTCTCCAAGTGGAGACTGTCAGATTTATTGAAGAGGAAGAGAAATGACAACGCTCAGCTGATCACGTGGGTATCATTCCCTTTGCTCTTTGCTTTCCAAAGGCACTCCAGGGATTTATTCCTGGTCACAAACCAGTCAACAACACTGTCTGTGCTGCCCTGGATTTCACTCTTCCCAGCACTGGGTTGTACCAGTTGTAAGACAAAGAGATAAATGCAAATTCTCTTCTGCTTTTATTTTTACCTTGGAGCAAGAAAGAAGCAATTAAGAAAGTTTTTCTTCACCAGCTAAGACACAGCATCCAATCTTTCTAGCTGAACCTCTGCAGGAACAGGCAATGGAGCTGTTAGGAGCTGCAGTGACAGGACAAGGGGCAATGGGGACAAACTGAAAGAGGAAATTGAGGTTAGATATTAGGAAGAAGTTTCTTCCTGTGCAGGTGGTGAGACACTGGCACAGGTTGCCCAGGGAGGCTGTGGATGTCCCAGAGAGGTTGTGGATGTCCCAAGGAGGTTGTGGATGTCCTAAGGAGGTGGTAGTTGCCCCAACCCTGTCAATTTTCATTCCAGGTTGGCTAAAGCTTTGAGCAACCTGCTCTGGTGGGAAATGTCCCTGCCCAGGACAGGGATTTGGCACTGGATGATCTCTGAGCTCCATCCCAACCCCTAAAATTCTATGATTCAATATAAACTTTTGCCTGAAATCTCTCTTATTCCTGGCTCTGGTCACAGAATATTGAGTTTCCTGAGGACTGCAGTGCAGTCTCACAGCTCACAGAGCCATGAGATGAAGCTTAATGGCCAGAAATGCCAAGTGAAACCAGCACTCACCTCACTTTCTGGCTCAGGTTCAACACCCTGATTCACCCAAGCGCTTTGCAGCACTTAGGGCATTTCATTCAGCTCTTTACACTCAAACAAATGCTTTCATTCTGATGAACCACCACATAATTGAAGTAGAAAATGAAGATGAAAAGTGTCTTCAATTATTTTCTGATTTGCAGGATCTTAGGCATCTCCTTAAAGATTGTATTGGGATACAAAGTAGGGTTGGGAATGGGGATGTGCTTCAACCTTCAGCCTGGTTAGGAAAGCAGCTTTGACTTGGGATCTCCTCCCTGCTCACATCACTGATCTCACTCTGCCTTTCCTCTTCCTTACAGAGGCCTTGACTTTGAGGGGACAACGATTGGATTGGCCTATCTCAAATCCATATGCAGTGATATATACTCTGCAGGTATTATTCAGGTATGCTTGCTTTTTATTTAACTTTTTAAAGGTTTTATCTATGCTTTTTTATTAACTCAACCAGCAAAGAACATTCGTGAAAACTCTTGTGTTTATGACACTTTCAGTTCTCTGTCTGGTTCATGTCAAGGAACGTAGAAATTCACAATCAGAGAGATCTGGGAATGTTCAAGGAGAGGTTGGAATGGGCTTGGGGTAGTGGAAGATGTCCCTACCCATGGCAGGGAGGTGGAACTCTCCTTTAAGGTCCCTTCCAACCCAAACCATTCCATGATCCTATAATATAACCCAAAACAAACTATGGAATAGATGCACTCATGGATTGAAAACCAGATCAAGCCTTTTGTAGCAGGGAGGGCAATATCACTTGAAGAAAACTAGTCCTGTTAATGATCTTCTCTGATGTTCCTACTTGTTGTAAGACACTTGTAGAACTAACAGCTTGTTCTTATCCCCACAGGACCATAACAGGAATCAGATTGCTGTAGCAGCTACCATGGCACACGAGATGGGACACAACCTGGGCATGAGCCACGACACTGAAACCTGTTCATGCAGTGATAATATTTGCATCATGACAGACACTGTCAGGTAGGAGTTTGGCTCAAAAGGGGAGGAGGTTCATGCATGAAGCAGTTCAGGGTGGTCTTTGGCTAAGCTGCCACTTTCCAAACTAGAGCAGGAAGGAGATGATCCCAACCAAATTCTAAGCAAAGAGGAGAAAAATGAAGATATTCCAAGTCGTTGTGAGATCTTCCCAAAAAAACAAATCCAAACTAACTTCAGTCACTCTCTATTTGGAACAACATCTCCACCCAAGAGCTCTGGGGATGGTTTCATCCACTCACAAAGGTTCTAGCTCCTCTTTGCCTGTGCTAACCTTAACACCAATCCTTTTGCTCTCTCAACACAGTTCAATCATTCCCAAGGAATTCAGCTCCTGCAGCCTGCAAAGCTTTCAGAAGTTCATGCTGAGCGACATGCCCAAATGCTTAACCAACATCCCAGACATCAGCAGCATCATAGCTCCTCCATCCTGTGGCAATGGCTTTGTGGAAAAGGGAGAGGAATGTGACTGTGGCACTCCTGAGGTACCTGGGAATCAACTGACCCTTGGGAGAGGCAAAGGGGTTGATTCAGGCTGCAGAGTAGTTGGTTTCTGGTAATTTCTGAGGTGAATAGTTCAAATCTAGCTGAAATATTTCTGTGGTCATCAACGTGCTGATCTGGGTGTCAAATGGTGGGAAACTTGGAGCCATGGTTGGTCAGACTGTGCTGACTGGGGAACTGAGAATCAGGCAAAGCCAACCCTACATCACCTTCTCAGCAGAGACAAGTTTCTGCACAACTTCCATCATCATCAACCACACTCTGTGCTCTACATCCACTCCCTCCCAGGGGTTGGTGTGGATTCTAAGCAAAATGCCTTCCAGAAAAGCAAAGTGCAGGGCCAAGACCTCCCTGGAGAGCCAGGGCCAGGTGGGTTGTTGTGGTGTAGCACAGCTCTGATTGTTGTTCTGCCCCAGGAGTGCACTAATGACTGCTGTGACCCTGAGACCTGCAAACTGACATCAGGATCCACCTGTGCACATGGAGAGTGCTGTGAAAACTGCCAGGTATGTCCCTTTCCTGCTCTGGCTCCTCATCTTCTCCTCTGAGAAGCCACTGACACACCTTCCAATAGAACCAATCCCTTCACTTGTACTTACTGATCAGGGAACTGTCATAGAATCGTGGAATATTCTGAGCTGGAAGGGATCCACAAGGATCAGAGTTCAAGTCTTGGTCCTGCACAGATACCCCAACAATCCCACCATGTGCCTGAGAGTGTTGTCCAGACACTCCTGGTGCTCTGTCAGGCTTGGGGCTGTGCCCACTGCCCTGGGGAGCTGTTCAGTGCCCAAACACCTCTGGGGGAAGAACCTTGTGTTGATCTCCAACCTAACCCAGTTCCAGTGCCCGAACACCTCTGGGGGAAGAACTTTCTCCTAATATCCAACCTAAACTTGTCCCAGTACCCAAACACCTCTGGGGGAAGAACATTGTCCTCATATCCAACCTAACCCAGTTCCAGTGCCCAAACACCTCTGGGAGGAGAACCTTGTCCTGACATCCAACCTAAACCTGTTCCAGTGCCCGAACACCTCTGGGGGGAAACCCTTGTCCTCATGTCCAGCCTAACCCTGTTCCAGTGCCCAAACACTCTCTGAAGGAAGAACCTTGCCCTAATATCCAACCTAAACCTCCCCTGACTCAGCTTGATGCCATTCCCTCATACTCTGACACTGGTCACTAGTCCAATCTAAACTCCACCCCAACAATTCCCTCAATCCTCCACCATCCTGGAGAAATGAGCTCTTTGATCACCCATTTTTCTCCTGGAAAGAAAAGCTGAGGCACAAACAGGCAAAAAAAAAAAGTAACCTCATCGACTGACATAACCGATGTTCAGTGAGATTTTGCTCCTCACACAACCTGTAGAGTAAGGATGAGCTATTTCTGCCCTGATTTTAGCCCTGTAGATCAGTGTGACTTGGAGCAGTGAGGAAGAGCAGTGGTGGTGATGGAGCCTTTGCTTTCCCCTCAGTACAAAAAATCAGGAGCTGTTTGCAGAGCAGTTCAACACGACTGTGACCTGGCTGAGATGTGCACTGGGAAGTCCCCGAGCTGCCCTGAGGATCGATTTCGTGTCAATGGTCATCCCTGCAACCATGGGGAAGGTTATTGTTACATGGGGAACTGTCCCACCAGGGAAAGCCAGTGCAAAGCTACCTTTGGACCACGTGAGTACAACACATTATATTGCCTTGGGCAGAGGATTGAGAGAGAGAGAGAGAGAGAATCATGGAATTTGAGGGGTTGGAATGGAGTTTAGAGATGATCCAGTGCCAACCCCTGCCCTGGGCAAAGACATCTCCCACCAGAGCAGGTTGTTCAAGGCTTGATCCAACCTGGAAAGAACAGTGATAGGGTTGGGGCATCCAATACCTTCCTGGGCAACCTGTGCCAGTGTCTCCCCACCCTCACAGGGAAAAACATCTTCCTGATATCTAAGCTAAATTTCCCATCCTTCAGAAAGTGAAGAAGGTGTGTTTGCAAATCCTCAAAGAGCTGTTGTTGTTGCTATTAGGAATAGCAAATCTACGTGAATTAACTCTAGATGTAACACAGACTTCATTATTATTTCCCTGTTTCACACTGTCAGGGCTTATAACACATGAGCCGAAGCTCAGAGCATCTGGTTTGATGTGTTTCTAGAGAAATGGGAAGTGGTGAGCAGATTCCTCTTTTGCACAGTGCTTTTGAGATCACTAGAATAGAGTTGGGGAAGTATTTGGCTGGATAGGAAGAGGAAATGTCTGTCTTTCAGACTAACATCCAAATCTGGTCTGTTTTCATGTTTCTGAAAGAAGGTTTTATAGAGATAGGGAAGGGGTTGGGTTGGAAGGGACCCTGAAGATCATCTCATTCAGAGAGTCATAGAATTTGAGGAGTTGGAATGGAGCTTAGAGATCATCCAGTGATAAACCCCTGACCTGGGCTGGGGCACCTCCCACCACAGCAGGTTGCTCAAGGTTTTATCCAACCTGGTATGAACTTGGGTTGGGGCAACCACAGCCTCCCTGGGGAACCTGTGCCAGTGTCTCACCACCCTCACCCGCTGGTCTCGGGGCGGACGGGGGAGGTCACGACGGGAACCGGGCGGGCGTCCTGTGCCGGTATCTGCCGCCTCCCCCGGCCCACGCACCGGACGGGCTCCCCGGGATGGAGCAGCCACAGCTTCTCTGGGCAACCTGTGCCAGTGTCTCAACACCCTCCCAGGGAAGAATTCCTTCCCAATATCCCATCTATCCCTCCTCTCTTTCAGTGTGAATCCATTCCCCCTTGGCTATCACTCCATGCTTCATCCCAACTCCTTCTCCAGCTCTCTCTTGGAGCACCTTTAGACACTGGAAAGTGCTCTAAGGTCTTTCTGGAGCTTCTCCTCTGCAGGTTGAAGTGGCAGAAACTCATTTAAGTAACTTCACTGGGAAAAGTCATTTCTGAAACAGCTAAGGGAATATTGTAAGTTGTCCCAGGCAGAGATCCCAAACTCATCCCATGACTTTTTGCCCCTGCAGATGCAACTGATGGTGCAGCCTCCTGTTACTACATGAACCAGCAGGGAACATATTACGGTTACTGCCGGAAGGAAAAAGGGAGTCACGTCCCGTGTAAGGAAAAGTAAGCACTGTGCTATCACATTTCCAGACATTTGGGAAGAGACACATCATTCCTACTCTAATTAGAAGCCAGAATCAAGCACCACCCTAGTTCAGTTGTCCTTAGGTCCCTTTGGGCATTGTGGGAAAGGCAATTCTAAGAGAACTAGTTTCAAATCGTGAGGTGAAACAGCAAATCATAGAATCATAGAATCAACCTGGTTGGAAGAGACCTCAAAGATCATCGAGTCCAACCCTACCATGGTCACTAGACCATGGCACTAAGTGCCACATCCAGTCTCACCCTGAAACCCTCCAGGGATGGTGAATCCACCACCTCCCCTGGGCAAATGTGGGAGAGAGATCAAGTTTGGGAGAGACAGGCAAAGCTGCTGGTGAGGATGAGTGTGTGCACATGCAGATGGCTACAGGGAAAGGATTTTTGGACAGGGAATTTGAACCTCAGATGTTCAGGATGCTCAGTTAAATCCTCATTTCTGCAGCTTGCCCAGAGCTCCCTAAGAAGCTCACGAGGAATCAAGAACCTCTCACCTTTTACTCACAAACCAAGGGCAAACCCCACAACCCACAGTTCCTCCTGCAGCTGTTTCCTTGGGATTCAAGCTGCAGGAGTGAGCAGCTCCAAGGGGTTTGTTGGCTGTGCCATGGCCTTGTTTAACAGCTCTGGTTCTCCTTGCAGAGACAAACTGTGTGGGAAGCTGTTCTGTGCCGGAGGGAGGGAGATGCCTCGGGATGGGAGCCTGCTGTCCTTTAGCTCCTGCAAAGGAAGTTTTGTTAGGCATGAAGGAGAAGACCCAGGCATGGTCCTTGATGGAACCAAATGTGGGAATGGGATGGTTAGTAGAGATGAATTTGTCTCCTGATTTTCTTCCTCCTCTCTCAGTCTTGTTTATATCATTAGCTATTTTACAAGGATGATTTTAAAACAGGGAAGGCTGAGTAGACACCAAACTTCTACTGATCTCTTTGCCCTACTTTCTGCCTTGCACCTCTCACAAAGCAAACAGGAACAGAGATCATTCCAAATTCCTTATGTTTGGCTGCTCCCTGCTTGTTTCTTCCTGACACAGATACATGTGGCAAGAGAAATACACCTTTGTAAGGAGGGGTCAAATGTCCTACATGTATTACCACTTCTAATTACTCCCATAAGGGATGTGCAAGGCATCACTGAGTACCAGTTCCAACCTCTTTGCTATATGTTCCTACTTGGAAGGGAGGGATGAAGGATTGGGGAGGAGTGGGAAGTGATGTCTGTCCATCTTTGCCATTCCCCTTTGCTATAAAACACCCAAAGGTCAAATGAAAAATGATACCCACGGATCAAACTCCCAAAGTGGCTCTGAGTGATTTGCAGAGCTGTTTCTATGCCTTCCTTGTACTCTTCACATGATAATGTGCAAGCTCTGCATGTCCTGAGAGCTCTAAATCACTTTCATTTCAGGTGTGCAGCAATGGAGAGTGTGTTCATGCTGAGGATGTCTTTAGATCTGCCAACTGCTCTGCCAAGTGTTCTGGACATGCTGTAAGAGACAAAAATTTAATGCTATTAACCTTGCAAAGCCAAGAAAAATGATGTATATCTGCCACAGACCTTATTGCTGACAGGGTTTGAGTCATTGAGAGAGGAGTTTGTAGAAATTGTGGAGGCAGAAGCTTCTTATATCTCTAGGAGAGCAAATCTAACCTGATGGAGCATCAGTGAGCTGGACACACACTCTGTGTCTGGCCCTGCCCCTGAGCCATGATCACAGCTCTTCTCTTTCAGACCATTTTGGCATTGAGAAGAGAATTATGCTCATCTTCCTTGAGCACTGAGAGACTTACAGAGGTATAGATTAACTCTGCCTTGTAGCACAGCTTTTACTGCAGAAGCTACACACAACAGACACCCAGGACTGGTCTTTAATACACCAAACTGCTCCTTTATGAGCTCAAATTTAGTCCAATTCTACTTTTAGTCTCTAAATTTTAGTCCAAGTAAACTGAGAGCTTCAATAAGCTTATCAGGACCCTGACCCAGAGCTACTGAGGTTTTATGACACCTCAACTTCACTCCTAGTCCCAACCTGAAGGTTTTCCTGGCTTTGTGCTTCCCCAGGTGTGTGACCACGAGCTGCAGTGCCAGTGTGAGGAGGGATGGGCACCACCGACCTGTGACATCTCTTCAGCCTTCACCAGTAAGTGCTACATGGTCACACCTTGGGGTCTGTCCTCTCCTGCCTGAAATGAGCCAGGGAGTCCAGTGGAACAGCTCTGGGGGCCAAAGGGAGTCACTCATGGAATTGGGAAGGTTGGAAAAGACCTCTGAGATTGAGTCCAACCATCAACCAGCACCATGGTCACCACCAAACCACATCCTCAAGTGCCACATCCATATGGATTTTGAACACTTCCAGGGTTGGTGACTCCACCACCACCCTGGGCAGCCTGTGCCAGGTTGGACAACCCTTCCAGTGAAGGAATTATCCCTAATATCCAACCTAAACCTCCTCTGCATCTTTGGAAATATTGCATATGTAGGTTGGTGTTTTCTGAGCATCTTTAGGTCACTGCAGCTTGTATGAATGACTGGAGTAAGGTGTTCTGCTTTCTAAGCTGGCAAGTGGTTCCCCCAGGAGAGGAGAACAGTGGGATTCTCTTTTCTCCATGCTGGGATAAAGAGCTCACCACATCAGCTCACTGGCACAGCAGAGTGGAGCCAAGATCCCAGAGGCTTTGCCATGAGGGAGGTGGACAAGTCCATTTATCATCTGCATGGAGCTGCTCATTAACTGACCTACCTATGAGGGAAAATACTTAGTGCACAGAATTCCATGAGTTTGAAGAGAGAAAAATTCACTAGAGAACTGTCAGCCCTGAACATTGTGACTTGGTTGAGGCTTTAGAATGGGTTTGTTGAAGGTAAATGGTGAATGAAACCTTATTTGAATGCAACTCCAGGGTCTGAACTCCTTTTTGGGTAACACCTTTGGGGCAGAGGAATGACAATGAAAGGATCTTTGAGGCTGGATGGAAAGGGAAGGGATTGGTTAGGGTTTGTTAGCTCAGGTAATAATAACAGCCTTCAAATATAGCAAACTCAGTAGAAATCCTTTCCATCCTGTGGCAGGAGAAGCCATAAAATGAGGACAAAAAGGGTCTAGACCTCATGATCAAACATTCCTATGCCAATGGTGGTGATGGGAAACTTCTTACTAAGGGTGAAGCTTGTTGGATCTCTTTCCAACCTCACTCAGATCTTTCAAGAGATAACAGCTCCTCTTGTCTCTCCCTTCCAGCCATTGCTGCTGTTGCTGGGGTCCTGCTGGTCCTGGCAGTCATAGTCACTACAGCAGTGCTGCTCATCCGTCTCCAAGTCCTCATGAAGAGGTAAGTGCTTGTCCCAAGGAGGAAAAACTCAAACCAAAGCCAAGCAATATCTGCACAGGTTTAAGTTAGGGTTTTTTAAGGGGTTGGGAGGAATTAGATACTGGAAAGTCAAGGAAGTTGGTCCATGAGCTGCTTCAGAAATCTCATGGTTGGGTGAGGATTGAAGACTTGAAGTTCTCAAGATTAATCCTTGAGAAACCAGGGGAAGAAAGCAAGAAAGGCCATGGCTATAACACACCAAGAGGAGGAAGGCAGGCAATCAACTTCAAGGGTTTTTTTTACTTCAGATTTAACCATTCTATGCAATATTTTACAGCCACCAGAGCAGGACAGGACCTGGAAGCACAAACCAGGTCTTTGTGGATCAGGAGCAAAGATGCAAAGAACACCCTGTGCTGGCAGTACCTGCCCAGAAGGTAAGAGCAGAGATGTGCTGGGGCAGTTGGGTCTCCTGGGACTGTCAAAACATCCACACTCCTCAACCAAAGTGGCTTCAATTCCCTGAGGGCCTCGAAACACTTTTGTGGGGCTGAGAGGACAGTGAATCCCTGCGTGGGAAGGGAGTGGGGACAGCACATGGCACTAAGTGACTGAGTGCAGAGAAGGGACGTGCAGAGATAACACATGAGATAAGAGCTCCATCCCATGTAACTGTTCCCTGTTTTCAGGTGGATGGCAAGAAACTTCTCCTTCCTGTGCCTCCACCACAGGAGACCAAACCTCAGCGCCAGAGTGTGAGTACATCCAGGGAATGGCTTTGTTTTCCTCTTGGCTTTGGGTAAGACATCACAAACCAGTGGAAACCCTCAGGGACAATCTGATCCCAAAGACTGAGGAGATCCCTGAGCTCCAGCTAAGGCTCAGCCTCCTTTTATCTGCATCTTTTAACCCTAAAAGCACATTTTATATCAAACATGAGCCTGTACATTCCCATGGGAACACATGGAAACACACAGCAGGGACAGAGGGTCAATGGGTTTCATTCTCTTCTCTTTCAGCCTGTCATAAGGCCTAAAGGTCCTCCACCTCCTGTTCCTCCCACCAAAGCAGCCCCTTCTCACCCAGAGGAGATGTTTGTAAGTACAGCCCTGCAGCTTCTCACAGCTCTAAGCTCAGCAGCTAATGACTATCAGATGCCAATTAGGATTTTCAGCTTGTGAAACAACTCAGTGCTCTTCTGAGACAGAGACCATGCCTAGCTGTGTTTTTGTTGCCTTCCTGCATGTGGACACATTGATCCACTTCACCTCTAGCATTTCCACTAGGAAAATGCTGTAGTAAACACGAGAGAGCAGAGGCAGCAATTGAGATCTGAGGAGGTTCTGCAGCTCCTCAGGAAAACCCAATGACATTTCAACTCTATTCTGTTACAGGCACCAGAGAGAAAACCTCCTCATCTCCCAGTCCCCAAGGGCAAACCTCCTCTTCCTCCCTCAAAGGTAAACCTGAGTTCACTTGGGAATAACAAATCTTTGGGGCTGGAATTCCTTGATTTAACTCTTCCTTTTTCACTAGGCTTTAAAGCCCCCAATGAATCCGAAGGTATGAAGATCCTGAAGCAGAGCTGATCCACACACCTTTTCAGGGACAATTTGTCCCTCAATTCCTCCACTTTGGGCAAAGGCATCCAAGCTTGTCTTGCTCTTCTCTTTCAAACAAGAACAACTGACTGACAACTGCTTGGAAAGTGAATTTTTGGATTTCTAGCAGTGAGGAACTTTTTGATGAGGATATTGAGCTGCTGGCCAAAAGGAAACCAAGCAGAATTACTACTTGCACTGAGGTGTAAACCAGGAGCAAGTTCTGAAAGCTGCTTAACTCATCCCAACTCCTGGGCCACCACCAAAGGCTGTGGCTGCACTGGGATGTCCTGTACCTACACTGCTCTTCTGGGCAAAGCCTGAGGAGATTAGGAGAAGTGTAGCTACTCTAGGTTTGTAAACTGTAAACCTTTTTGGCTGCACTTGTGGACCTTTGCCTGCCCTTTCCCTCCTCAGCCACACACCAGGTCTTGTCCTTCACCTGCAAGTTCTGGGGAAAGACAAAATCCTTCCTGCCCTTTGGAGAGGAGTTTGTGCCAGTGAGGTCTGAACTAGACATGGAATAAGATGACCCACTGGAAATGGTTCTGGAGAGATCCTTTGGGATCAGATTCTCTCAGTAAACCTTAGGTTGCTTGTTAACCAAGATCCCTGTGGTGAGCAGGAACTGGAGAGAACCTCCAAAGCAAAGCACTTACTGCTTGAAGGTCTCCAGAGCTCCAGCTGTGCCACTTGAAGAGCTCCAGCTGCACCATGGCACTTGGGCAGGGAAATACAGCAAAGCACCAGCAACAAAATCCTCACTCCTGTCTTTCCCCTTGCCCCTCAGAGCTCTGTAAACTGCCCAGGATTCCTCCCTGCCAGGATACACACACCTTGGTGCTCTCCAAGTGCCTCTGCACAGGGTGTGGGACTGCAAAGAAGCTGCTGAGAGCCAAGCTGGGCACAGGATTGTTATTGTGGGCTGAAGGTTCACAGGTTGCTTCATTCCTGAGGGTCCTTCATGCCTCCTGCCCTGTTGGCATCAGCCCTGGGGGTACTGCTGAGCAGCTGGAATGGATCTGCAGGTCACTGCTGGCACTAGTCTTACTGGTTCTGGGAGGTGCTGGTGTTACTATTGGCACTGCCATCACCCATGTGCTTGGCAGAGAGAGTTTGAAGTTGAAGCACACACAAGTAGGGTTTTTTTTTTTTGGAGAACAAAAATTTTACCGGGGGCCCACAGCAGCCTTTGGTCAG